GTGTGTGTGTCCTGTAGAGTCAACCACCAAAAACAACAAAACAACACCCCATAACACCAATTACGTCCAAGAGTATTTTAGTCTTTTCGCATCTACAGTACAAATAATTCAGGACGGACTGTCACTGTCACAAAATATGCACGAATGTGAATATTATAGTCGATGGTGTGTTTCCACACTCCCTTTTATCCTCATGCTGTTGTTCATTTTTTACAATCATTTTTATACATATAATATAAGAGAGTGAAAATCATTTTTATACATATAATATATGATATGCGAATTTACTAAGATGACCATCAAGATTAACTAAAATCAACATCGGAAATGCTTGCAATGGGATTACAGGCCAAACTGCAGGACTTCATCTTCATGGAATCAACATGTGCTGACATGTCCTACCTTTTTTAAAGAAGTGATACAATTAATGGTACAACTATATTATAAGTATAGCATTAAAAGAAAACGAAAGAACCCTAGTGGCAAGTTTGGTGACTGGTCAAGAAAAACTATCAATATGAAATGTCATGACCTCATTTTTATTACACATTTTCTATTTTTATTATATTTGAGAACTCGGTCTTTCATGTCGAGTGTTACGCGTATGAGAAATTTTATTTAAACCATATAACCTTTTTTTACACCCAATTTAAATTTTAAATATTTAATGTCTTTTTTACCCTATTGCATAATTACCATCAAGTACAATATGAAATTAATAATAAAACTTAAATTTATCAATAAACCCACATCTTATAATTAAACCTTACCATCACTCTTTATTTATCATACGTTCATTTCGGCTAAAACTCTATAAGCTCTTATGGAGAAAAAACAAGTTTTTTTTTTTTTTTTTTGGATAGATGATGATAAAGTTTTGATCAATCCTCCAACTAAGATATGACTCGACTTATGGAAATTTTTTGTTCTTGGTTTCAATTTTTTTGTAGTGTTAGAAGATGGGTATTGATTTTCAATTTCTTTTTCATCAATCCCAAATTGCTCATGGTTTAAACTTTTTGCACCATTGAGGTGAAAGTATTAAAAAATTGTTGCACACACCAAATTTCTGGGATATATACAAAACCCTTTCTACGAATATAAGTTTTTTAATCTTTGTTCAAAGGAGATCTCACATCAATTAGATTGCAGACAAAAAAATTTGGTTTATGGCCCAAAATAATAGCTACTGTACTTGAATATGCTCACCAATACTTTAACCCTTAGAAGATTCAAGTATATAGAAAACTCAAGGTTTTGATTAGAAAAATACGAGTATAAATTACAAAAGTTGTAACTTGTGAAGATGAATGTGTAGTTTTAAACAACTATTTTTTCTCCAATGCTAATAACAACAGCCTTACTAGTCACTAGTTTATATACAAAGAGTATCGTTCTTTAAAACTCAAGGCTTTGTTAGATATATTGACACTTGCCACGAAAACAATTGAAGAACTTGGAAATGGACTGGAATTGGGACCAGTTAGTTGAAGAGATCACGGTGGGAGGAGGGACAAAGGACCCATAATGTTTTTTGATTTTTGGGTCTCTTTGAAAACAAAACAATTCAATTTGAGAATTTATTTTTTAAATGGGTGTAAAGATAATTTTACATTTTGAATTGGATTTGAAAGAGTAATTTAGGTATTAAATTTGAGTTTAAAGAGATATTAGTTCTTTAATTAAAAATAATATTGGTGTAGAGAATAAGTTAAGTAGAAAGAGGTTAAATGGGTTCAAATAAAATTTCCTTATACCTATAGGCACAATATTATACCATTTTTTAAATTTTATTATATTTGAGAACATAAAACTTTATATTATTAGTACAGTTAACCTGGACATTCTGTTGTAAGCCTCCATTTGTAAGGTTTGGTTCTAAGACCAACTACCAAGTCTACTTTGACAATTTTTAATAAGGATAACTGGTGGCAAGTCACGGTTATCCACCTCTTTTGGAGGTCAGGAAGACTCATAAAGGCATTTCAGCCTCTCCCTAACCACTAGTCTAGTTTTCACACCAACAACGAGTTTCGAACCCGAGACCTCTAGTTTTTAGTTTGAATGATGCCTTTACTTTGACAATTTACATGCACGACAATAACAGATTAACACATTTTTTTACATGCATTAGGTGATCATTAAATTTTAATTTACTATTAATAGCCATGCAAGGATACTTGTGTAATACAAAATGCATATGCTATAAGGCTACTTGTAGTTAAAATTAAACCATATCTAATTCATGGTCGTATTCTCTATGATATTAACTATATCTTGTTATCCTTGGCAAGTGCTAAAGCCCAATCCTCCCATTTTAAGCCAAAAAAAAAAACACCATGTTCTTCATTTCCTTAAATACTAAATTTAAACCAATCACACCGGAAATATAGACTGTCGTGATAAAACTACCAGCTAGTTCATTTTTGGTGAAAAAAAAAAAAAAAACAATCACACTAAGGTGATAAACCCCAAACCCCAAAATAGCCTTAAAGAAGTAATTATGACCACCTACTAATTCATTTCCTAAAAGAAGTAATTAAGACCAACACACCAAGGATATGGGGCTTGATAGTCTTGCACGTCTATGGTGAGATAGAGAGAAAAAGTGGGTATTCATTTCACATAAGTTTAGCTACACACCGAGAATGACACCAAATTTTTTCTCACTCGAAATAAGATTTGTGCGATCATAAATCTTGAAGTTTTTTTTTTTTTTTAAGATTTACCAAAGTAATATACTAAGGATACGGTAACAAGTAATATCCTCGTAACTAAAAAACAGTGAAGTAATGGCATGTAATTTAACATACTAAAAATCAGTGAAGACATATAGAATCCGTTCAACTTGATACTAAAAAACAGTGAAGGCATATATAGAACCCGTTCAACTTGACCTTCAAGTGGGGACTATTCTTTATTTTTAGGAAATTTACTAAAAAGGGTAATTACTTAGTTGTACAACTTGTACTCCATCACGTGCGGAAGACACCACTCTAACTAAACGTAGGGGTTTGACTGTTAGCTTTAGACATGAACTGCTGACACCCACCATTCAAATTCGATTTAATATCCTGTTTTCTTTTCTTTTTTTTCGGCTTTTGCTTTTGCTTTTGGGTCACATCTCAAAAGCTCAAATCAAAATAGTCTAGGGCCACGGGAGGACAACCTTTCTTTTTTTTTTTTGATTTTTTTTTTTTTTAGGTTTTTTTTTTTTCACTCTTTAACTCCTTATGAAAAGTCATCATTCCTTCTTGACAATAGACTATCCGTTGACAACGGCCACGGGAGGACAACCTCTTTTTTTTTTTTTTTTTTTTTTTTTGCTCTTTAGCTCCTTACGAAAAGTCATCATTCCTTCTTGACAATAGACGATCAACGGATATACTCACTATTTTTATAGCGCTTCTTTCACTAGTTAAGTCAACTACGACTCTTTTCAAACTTTTCTTCCATAAAATGCAGGCTTTTTTTATAACTTTCACCGATCGTAAACACTACCAACTTTTCTTCAATTGGTGGTGGAGTTTCCATTGAACTTATCAACGATTTTAGCTCATAAAACCTTTTTATTTTGATTTGTGTCAACAGCACCATCTTCGCTAATAGAAATCTATGCTAAGCACAAAGTAACATCTTCCTCATTTGACCAATTACGACTTCTAATATGATCTTTTGTTATCTTGAAATTTTTGGAAATTGGATGGTAGAAACAAAAGTTGGAAGAATTGTAGGAGAAAATTGAATTTTGTGTGAATATCTGAACAAATACATATGTGTTTATAGAGTTGTTTGGTGAATTTTGAGTTAAATAATTTATTTAAATTATTTTAACCTTTGAATTTAATTCTAGATAGCCAGATCATTTTTTTTAACGTTAGATTTGATTGTATTATATCTCATCTGTTGAATTCAATAAATTTATAAATATAAAAAAAACATTAAATAAATTGATGTGGACTGTTGGGTTTGAATCTCAACTGTAAATGAAACAAAACAAATGTCGGGCCGAATAATGTATTATGGGCCGAGGGTTAGAAAGAAATAGAGTGGATTTAGAAACCAAATTTTGAGACGAAGTGAGTCTTATGATTTAAATAATATGGAAAAATTTGATCAATTTAAAAATGGAGAAACTTGATATAAGTTCAATTTTTTGAACCAATAGTAGGAATAACCCAGTTTATTAAAATAAGTTCAATTTGTTATATTTAATTATTTAATTATCAATAGTTATCTGTTCAATGATAAGATTTATTATAAAAATCAAATTTCTTCCCAATTATCTCTTTGCTTATTTCTTTTTATTTATCTTTTTGTTATTTCTCGTTCTTCCTCCTACTTTAAACCCCATTTATAAATTTTATTTTTAATTTTTATAATCGACCTATATCACAGGTTAATTATATTTATCTACACAGATTTTTTTTTTATAATCAACCTGTCACAGATTAATGTGTCTTACTTGTAGGTATGTTATGTTTTTTCTACCCTTTAATTAGGTTTCTGTTTTTTCTACCCTTTAATTAGGTTTCTTATCTCACGTATATGTATATTATATACATTCATATATTTGTTACTTGAGTTAGGGTAGAATGTTTTGCAGATAAATTTATTTTAGTATATTAGTTTTTTTGTTATAAGATATTAAATATATTCTTTTGGAGTTGGAAAATGCATAATATTAGAAGATTTTAATTGATTTTTAATATTTTTAGAAAATATAAAATGAGTATAAAAGAAATAAAAACATATAATTAGATAACTGGACTCACTCCTAAAAACACTCTACGTTTTTGGACCTGGATCTAAAAGCCCCTATAAAAATCACGTAACCATTCATGTGTCAGCATAATATGGCATCATTTTGATTGATTCATAAATTAAATGAATTATTGTGAAGATGATTGATAAATACAATGAACGTTTTGAATTATAGCGTTTGTAAACTAAAATAATGTCATCACCATGGAAGGAATAAACACTTGGAGGTAAGCAGATTAGTGTACAAGTTCACCCAAGAAATCAAATAAATTAGTACACAAAGCGAACTAGTTGTTCAATTATTACCATACAAATAAAATCCAAGCGAAAAAATTTAAAGAAAAGAAAAACAAATCCCAACCCAACTCTGGTATGCTGCGAGTTGGCCTCACGACTTATGCGCCTATAAATCGATAATTCGTCAAGTTCAACTACAGTCATCTAATTGTCATTTCTTAGCAAGCAACTACAGATTTGTGCTTCTATCGACCCGGACACGCTCCTGCTTTCACTAACCAAACCTGTCGTACAAAAAGCAGTTCCAAAATATTAAGTTGATAAACAAGTAGAACCCAGATTTACAAGCGATGTCAACGAAATAAACAAATATGTAACAGTCTGGTATGCTTGGATGACTCTCAAGCATACTTAATTCAGGGTAAAGAATATCAGCTTCCGTATTTCTATTGTAGTTTCAGTAAGCCTGGAAGGATGACGGGACAAATTTATATTAGCGAATGAGGATGCTTACCAACGTATGTAACAACTAAATTCAGCACGGACATAATAATCGCTGATAGCTGATATCTATTAAAACCGAGTCATTTGCTGCAGCGTTTGAGAACCAGTTGATTGTGAAACCAACTGTTCTGCACCAAGAGATGGTCTAATCAAGTGGTTGGTACCAACTGGATTGCCAAACCCCCTGATCATCTCTTTAGGAGTATTGGGATTTGTTTCCAGGTTCGACGATTCCATCAGCGTCCGTATCTGACCAAGTCGTTAGTTGTAGACCAACTTTCAGTTGTTCGACAAGAATAAAAATACTAAAAGGAAAAACATATACACAGAAATTTCAAACTTACCACATCCAAACGCTTCTTATGGAGATCACTTGACAACTGCATATTTAAAAAGTAAGGTATTACAATAAATCTCGAGTTGAAAAGTTGGTTAATAATAATATGGAACCATCATACATTCTACTTTTGTATCTTCAACAGTTGATTGCGAATCTAACCAAACATATTCAACTTAAAAAAAAAATAAAAAATAAATAAATAAATAAATAAAATGTACTTATCCAACTTTAAATTTGTCCCTTTGAAGTAGATGTACTCAAAGATGTTAGATGCACCACAATGTTCATCCTAAGATGTTGAAGATACTTACAGATTTGTTTTGGCACTTCCTCTCCTCACTTGAAAACCCGGGAATTGTCAGATGCCAATTTTTCTCTGCAAATGAGTCCAACGCATTAAATTCCGCAATGCTACAATTGCACCAACTATGATTCATATAAAGGTTCAAGTGAGTCAAGATTCTTGTGATATGAATTATTAATATAATATAAACTTAGATGCTACTATAGCTTCCATACTATTGTTATGTATATCTCCCACAAATCTCATATTCATCGCATGAGCCAAACAATGACCTCAATGAATTCCAAACCCCATAAACACACCAAAAAAGATATCCATCCATAAATGAGTGTTATTTGTTTTTTTTTTTTTTTTTTTTTTTAATCCCTTCTAATAATCAAGAAAATTTTGATGGTAACTTGGAAAACACAACCTGATAAATTATTAATCAAGAAAAAAAATAAGGAAAGATGAGCACAAAAAAGCGCAGCAGGGCCAACCAGAAACCGAAGACACAAAGAACAAAGAACCAACCAGAAACCTTAATTTATTTTTATATTTTACTTTTGTAGACAATTAGTTGGGTACATTGGTCTGTGACATACAGGAACCAGATTAAGTAGAGAGAACAAACACAGATTTAAATTTGCTGATTATTTAGTCTGCATATTCAGAAAACTCTCATTTGCATCCTATGTCAACTCATGTTAGATCTTTCTCTAAGTATCAAATTAGGTGACCAGTAGGTGTTAAGTGTAAGCATTACTCACAAGAAATATGGAGATGAGTTGTGTTACAAAACAAACCTAGATGTAGCAACACATCCTTGGACTCTAAAGTTGAAGATTTTCTATGCTTTGCCAAATTGCATGCATATGTTGTCACCTGCAAATAGGCATAGGATAAGCACTTAATGTCCACGAGTGCCATATGAAGCTTCTTTTTATCTGGTCCGACATGCCAGAGAAAACTTGGCACGCAGAGTTTTATAAGAGTGAAGTATATATCAGCAGTACAAAACTAATTTAGGCCTATTTTGAGGCATGTCCACGTGTGTATATTTATATGAACCCGATCTAACAAGAGGACTTGTACATCAACTGTTAAATTAAATGTGACCAATTGATATGTATATCAGTTGTCCAAAGTTGATCTACAGATATGCAAATCCTTAAGTTGGATCTTCAATTGATCATCATTATATATACATATTACATATAGTATAAAAGTTAGCATGTCAAGCCTTACAGAATCAATGAAGTCATCAGCAATCTCCAAGAGAAGATCTTCAACTTCAGGATCCAGCCTGCCTTGTGAATCAACCTGGGCAGGGAAAAAAGATTTCACAATGACAAATTTAATAGAGCACAACCACCACCCTCCCAACCCACAAACCAAAAAAAGAAATAGCAGATTAACTAAGGAATACCTGTGAGACTAAATCTTGTATCTTTCTCTTCCCGAGAAGTTGGTTAGTTGCTTCTGTTCCTTGGCTTGAACTCCCTCCAGGTGTGGTAGTACCAGATGCAGTAGCATCAGGGTGTGATCCTGTTAAACTAAGAGATTTCTGGCCTGCGGGTACAGCCATCCTTGGGGAACTCAGCTGTTGCTGCTGCGATTGTTGTTGTAGTGGTTGCTGCTGAAGTTGCTGTTGCTGTTGATGCGGCTGCTGCTGCAGCTGTGGATGTCCCATTTGTTGCTGCTGCTGTACAAGCTGGTTTAACTGTTGAGGGATAAAGGGCATAGACTTTTGCAACTGATTAGAAGCCAGTTGCTGCTGATAGAGAACCTGCTGCCTATGTTGTTGAAGACGCAACGAAGATGAAGGTGAAGGTGAACCAGGGCCAGGAATTGCTGGCATTTGCTTCAACCACTGTTGTGATAAAGAATTCTGCATCATTGCTGGCTGTCCATTCTGAGACACACCAGATAACTGAGGGTTCATAAAAGCAAGTGAAGATGTTCTTGGCAAGCTCTGAACCTGTACTTTGTAAAGTCAGATTAAATGTCCCCACCATAAATTGATAAATTCATCCAAGACATGCTATAGAGTAACAGCATTGCCAAAGATTGTTAAACTGTATAAATACATCTCTATCCTTCCTGCTGTGCAAAATGCCAACACTGTACCACCAATATTAAAATGCCTACAACTCTACAAAAATACCCATCAAGCGGAAGTGGGTCATTACAGAAAATAAGAGTACGTTTTGAAAAGAATGATCGATTCCATTCAACAAAACCTGGTATGGCTAATGTTAGATGCTACAAATAAATGAACAAGAACAACCAACATAGAAAACAAAAAACATATTTTCTGGGCAGAGCAATGTAGGACTCTTGTAGGATACCAAAACAGCAATTGATGGTTTGAAAGGCGTCTTTGTAATTAAAATTCATGTAGCATGAAATAAAGTGATTCATTCTCATTGGTCCTCCAAGTACCAAAATGATAAGTTGACGTAATTGATTCAATATAACTACTTTATAAAATATAACTATTTTATAACTACTTTTATAAAATATACTCAAAGTGAAAGAAGCTAGCGGAAAACCACCGTGAAACTTTAGTCAAAAGTGATATCCCAGATGCAAAGATCAAACAGAGGTTTTGGCAACTTGTTTTTAGTTGGGCATGAAAAGCAGGAAAGAGATCATAGTTATCCTAATTCATTTGTTACATGCAGATCTTAAATAACGCTTAAATCTAAATCAAACCAAGGAGAAGGTAAAACGATTATAAAGCATAATAAAATTGTTTGGCCTGTTGGTTCTGTCTTTGAACGATACTGGAGGAAAATTCACTAGAAAACATGAAGGTCAGGATAACGGCCGTGTCACTTTCTTAAAACCAAAACTTTCTTAGAACCAGAAAGTGGAATTCCACAGTTTGAATATCCCTCCCAACCCGAAGAATAAAGACCTTCATTTATTACTTGAAACAGGTCAGACTACAAATGTAGAGCCAAAAGAAAGTCGGCCTCAGTGCATGGCCCCTTATTGCAGGGTCCAAAGCCAACATATAAGTTTAATAGAATATGAGAAATTCAAGCTGTAGAAAAACTCATTATACAACATAGCATGATCAGCTAGAATGAGTAATTCACATACGCACCATTCTATAACAATTTGCATACACATATAAGAAACTCAAAACCAGACAAACATAGCAGTTGGCAGAATAAAGTAGAAGATGCCTAAGTTAGTAGATCGGGCAAGAGGAAAGTAAGCAATTATACCTGTGCAGAGGTGAGCGAACTTTGTTGGGCCAACTGTTGCCTAAGTTGGCCCTGCCCCTGATTTATTCTCTGTTGAGCAAAAGAAGCAATGGCCCCATTAGCTCTTAGTTGCGAGCTCAAATTGATGGATCCCATCACCCCCATTGCCTGTGTTCCTTGTAAAGATTGCCCAGGAGAATTACTGTGATGAAATTGGGAACCTTGGACCAGGCTGCCTTTTTGTCTCGGCTGCAGAAAGTTTGCTGATTTTGTTAAACATGAAACATTTCCATTTTCAAGAAAGTATTGAGTTCACTGGTGTGCTAACTTGACAGTGCGTAATATATTATGCAATAATACAGAAACCAAAGCAGCACGTCTATCGATCCAACAGCTTTCACTGATGTACTAATATTCAATGAGAAATTCAAAAGGGAACTGATGTACCATATTAAATTAAGATTGTTTGCATTTGATTTATAATACTAATCAAGGTGTACTTTACTATGTAATATAGTATATGATTAACATTGGTTCTAGGAAGTACATAGCATAACTATGTCGGATGGTTTTGCCCACATTGAAGCAACCAGCTATGCCGATATAACATTCACAGAAAAGCACTATTAAGAAACTTATGATGCTACTAAACACAACTTGTTTAAACTCCACAAAATGCACACTAACTACGCCACATTTCACCTTCCACAATCAAAAGATAACAGCAAATTTCATGAGGGCAATTAAACTCATACCGAGGCCAACAACTGCGGCTGCAGATTCAATTGCGCAGCTGCAATAGCAGCAGGGCCAGACAACATGGGCAGGTGGCCACTCTGCCCGATCAAGGCTGATCGCGACAAGTTCCCACCGCCAAGTTGCTGAGTCTGCTGTGCCTGGTTTTGCTGTTGCTGCTGCTGATTCTGCTGTTGGATAGCACCAGAGCCACCAAAATTCAACTGCCCATACAAACCCCCTTGGTGCCTCATCATACCGAAATGCTGCTGTTGCTGCTGCGGGTTCTGGCTCATCTGCTGAAGCTGGTTCATTCGGGACATCGACGGCGTCCTCTGCATACTCTGCATACTCTGCTGGAGCTGGTAATTCGGCATGGAATTCACATTCACGTTCTGGGATTGTTGCACCAATGATTGAGATTGCTGTTGCAGCTGTTGCTGCTGCTGGGTCGATTTCTGCGCGTAATCCAATCCGACGGGGGGCGAAATGTGCTGGGTTTGAGGAAGCGAGACGTTGGACAGGGAAGGGAGAGGTGGGGATGCGATTTGTGGAGACTGGGAGAGAGTTGAAGAGGATGGGATTGCTGGGTTTGCGGAAGAGTTTGCTGGGTTTTGGGTGATCATAACGTTTGAGGGTGATGCTACTGCTGCTGCTGGGTCAATGCTGGGTTGGAGGGGGTTTGGGGACGACGATGGGCCGTTTTCCGCCATGTTCTCGAATTCGTTTGCTTTTCAGAATAATTGGGTATCTGGGTTTTTGATCGTCTTGACAACGAAGAAGCTAATTCATGGCGGATTTTTTAGGTTTCTGAAATTCGGGAACTTGAAGTTTCAGAGAGCGGAAGCGAGAGAGGGTGGAAGAAGGTGCAGAGAGGGAGGGGGAAGAGCAGGAGAGGTCGAATCTGGTGCGTACACGTCAGCAAAAGCATACCAATTGGTCGGTCAACAGATCCTATGCGTTACGGGGAAAACAATTCATGGTATAATGGAAAATCTGGAGCGTTTTTCATCTCTAATTATATTGGAGTACTGGAGTTTCTCTACACTAGGTGGTTGTATGTCATGCATTGCGCTAGGGTGGATTGAAATGTCGAAAATCGAAAATCGAAAAAGCTGGACCGAAAACCAAACCGAGGCAAAAAAAATATTGAAGTGAAGCAATCAAATCGAACCAAATCAAATTTGTTGGCTCGGTTTCGGTTTTTTTGAGGTTTGGAAACCGAAACCAAACTGAAGTTATAATACCTCTGCTTCAAAACGGTGCGTTTCAATCTTGTTTGCTTGTAATCCTAATGAACAAAAATCGAACCGGAAAAAACCGACAAAAAATCAAACTGAACCGAATCAAACAGTAAATTCAGTTCAGTTTGATTTTTTGTCGGTTTTTTTAGGTTCGATTTTTGTTCATTAGGAAGCAAACAAGACTAAAACCTGAACCGAATGGAGCCAAACTGTAACATCCCACATCAACCAACGAAAAGGGGGTGATGTGCCTTATATGTACATGCCCACCCCCATATAGCATAAGACCTTTTGGGAACTCACTAGCTTTAGATTCCATTGGAACTTCGAAGTTGAACGAGTTTGGGCGAGAGCATTCCTAGGATTGGTGACCCACTAGGAAGTTTTCGTGTGTGAGTTCCTCGAAACAAAACCGTGAGGGCGTGGCTAGGGCCCAAAACGGACAATGTCGTGCTACGGTAAAGTTGAGACTGGGATGTGACATAATGGTATCAGAGCCACTCTGTCGTGTGGTGCGAGTGTCCTGACGAGGACGTCTAGCCCCTAAGGGGGGTGGATTGTAACATCCCACATCGACCAACGGAGAAGGGGTGATGTGCCTTATATGTACATGCCCACCTTCATATAGCACGAGGCCTTTTGAGAATTCATTGACTTCATATTCCATTGGAACTCCAAAGTTAAACGAGTTCAGGCGAGAGCATTCCCAGGATGAGTGACCCATTAGGAAGTTTTAGTGTATGAGTTCCCAGAAACAAAACCATGAGGGCATGGCTAGGGCCCAAAGCGGACAATATCATGCTACGGCGGAGCCAAGATTGGGATGTGACACAAACCCCCAACATTGCACGTCTAACCGTAGTTGTCATTCTATGCTTGACAGGAGAATGAACTTGTCTCATCTTGATCAGAGAATGAGATAAAGAAAAACCAAACTATTTCCATCTTGTACATGAAGTGTAATTCAATAAATATAAGAGATGTTCCTGACACTAAAATTGTCATCATGCACTTTGATATACTTCTTACTCTTCTTTTTTACTCTCTTTATTTATCCAGTGTTCAATCTATTTTGTGAAATAAACTAAAAAAATTAAGAAATGCATGATGACTATTTTGGAGTGGCCAATAGTTTAATTGCAAAGGTAAAATTGCATGCACATGTGCATAACATATGTTTTGTTTTACATCATTTAGGTCTAAGATATTGATTAAAATTTGATCCACCATTTAATGATATTTATTAAAAAGTCAATTATTTGTAGTAGAAGTCAAATCTATCCGCTAATTAGTTTTTTTTATTTTTTTGAAAGAGAACAATAATAATTTTATTGATAGAAAAAAGGAGGGAATTATTATTAGTACTCCAAAAATCTCATTCTACACTCCAAACTTTCCATAATAGGAAAGAAAAATACACTTGTGAGGAGTGTAGAATGAGATTCTTGGAGTGCTAATAACACTTCCAAAAAGGATTACAACTCAACTTGAAGTTTTGAGCATAAATTCTGATGGTATTCTTGTCCACTAGTCCAACTACACCCAAAAGGTGTTACTATTGAGTATATCCTTGATTGTATGTACGCTAGATGCAAATGAGACATTCAAGAAGGTTATGGAGCTAATAGTTCTCTATCTGAGTGCAATTTGCGTTTATTGTACTTAGCTAAATGCACTAGATCAGACATCTCAAGTATTGATAATCATTTGGCATAAAGCCACCACCAAATTAGGTGTTAAAGACGTTTTTCTCTTACCATAGATTTGGGCATACTCTATCCTTATGCATCTTAGAATGAATCACAACCCTTGGTTCTCGAAAGGATGCCTACCTTGTGGGATATGCGACTCAGACTATCTATTTGACTTGCACAAGGTACGCTCCCAAATGGTTATATCTTTACAATTAAGGAGCACTGCAATATCTTGGATGTCAACCAAATAGACATTAGTTGTGAAATCTCCGAATCGTTCCAAGACTCACTGTACCTCATTACGCCACACGTGAGAGATATGGTTGAGAGCTCTTGTTGAGCATATTCAAAGTACCTGTGATTTTCATTCATCATTGAGTCCTAACAAAGATTTGATCATCATACATCCTACAAATCAACGCCAAGCATATTGTGTCTACATTATATTAGCATGAGCATCAAATGATTGAAGTCAAGCAATCCTATCCGAAGACAACCTTGCCGACCTCTACACGATGTCATGGCTGAAGTCTAGAAGCTTGTCTGAGGAATTGGTATGCATAACTTTCTCATTAGAAATGCTTGTATTTCTCATTTAGAAGTTTTGTCAAACTCAGGGAAAGTATCAAAAAGTATACTCACTAGACCTTAATGTACTCTTTTTCCCTACGATTAAAAGCATTTTTCCCACTTAGTTTTTGCTACCTAACTAGGTTTTAAAGAGGCACCCATCCTGAGTTTGTCATACGTTTGTGAGCAGTCTGCTTTTGTCCTGAAGATGTTTAGTTTTTACGTAATGCAACTTCTTACTTTTCTCCTTAGACTATGGGTTCTTATCCTATCTTGAATTTTACCATAGCGAAGTTTTGTGAGTCTTATCACCTATTCATTCTTTCATTTGTTTTGAGACTCGTATTTGCTACTTGTGCCAACTAGACGAGATGACTTCATCAACTGCTTCTACATTTGCATGAAGATTTGATGCGCCATCTACTGGCGTATTTACAACCTCAAGGGGGAGTGTTATGGATAAAGTTTAAGTACATGTGTGATTGTGTAAATCATTAGTAGGTTGCATTTAGGATACTAGAAGGTCCTTTCTCTTAGAGTTGTATTACTTGCAAGGTAAGAAATCCTCCTTGGTTTACTATAAATAAAAGAACAAGGATTGGTGAATAAAACACAGAATTCCTCCAGCTCTTTTCTCCATCTCTCTTTCTCTCCATGCCACACCCCTCTAAAATTGGTACCATGCGGAATATCTTGCAAATAAAAATTTAACTTTGCATAGTAGACTAGCCAAATGAGTTGGTCAATTAGTTACAAGTTAGTTAGTGATAGAAAGTGCAGTTGCAAGAATAGATCCTGGTTGACTATTACGTCCAACTAGTCAGAGTCTGCCCAGATCCGTTTCACAACACCAAATCCTAAACTTGACCACATTTACATATCAGTTCATTATGGAAACAGCAGTAAAAAGCAATTATGAATTAAAGTACGCTGAATTGACTAGTCAAGCTTATCAGTCAACTAAGTATAGATTCGTTAGTTAACCAAACGCAAATCTACGAAACAAACTTAGTTCACTACAAGCAATCCTACTCAATAACAATTCAGTTGATAACTCATAATATGTAGTGTAAACTTAATCACAAACACAAATAAATTAACAATTCATAGGATGAAAATATACTAGTAAATAAGATATGTGAACAAGTTTAATAAACAAAGAATGCAATAAGTTTTATGGTCGAAAAAACCCACCTCTGGGTTAAAAAACCAAGGACTCTCCACTGAGTCCAATATGCTAATGCAAATAAGGTTATTACAAAGATCCACATAAAACTCAATTTATAGATCTAATCTACGGAGTAGCTTTACCTTTGTGCAACCTTACTATGCATGAATTGAGGATTCATTTGGTCTTCATGAAATGGCAGCTCTTCTTGAGTTCTTCACCTTGTGGCATTGAAATGGAGTCGTCTTTAGTCTTCACAAGATGTCAACTCTTCCTGAGCTTTTCACCTTGTGGCACTGAGACCAACACCAACAAATGCATATGATAATGATGATAGTGTGCAATTTGGATTCAATGACTATTCAATTTCTTCAGCCAAACAGTTGAAAGAAGAAACTGACGAGAATCCAAAAATTGGTCAATAAGCAAGTTTGAAACTTAAAAACTTGACCACGAATTTAATGCAAAACCATGAAGAATAATGCAAGCCTATTATTCAATAATTGGGTGTTTAGTTCATGAACATGATTTTGTGGATAGGGTTTTTAATAAAGAACACAAACCCTCTAAAAATTATAAACTTTCTCTCCAAATAGGAAATGAAATCCTCTAACCCCTATTAAAAACAAAACCTTTGATTATTGCAAACAAGGTACAAAGAGACACTTGTCAAATGTAAAAGCAATCTAAGCATATCAATGGTGAAAAGTTGAATCCCGTATAAAAGGTGTTAGTCAGCCCATGTGGGCTGCCTTAATTTACGTGCCCAACTTGCTGGAAAACAACAAGCAATTCTGACGAGACAAGGTCACTAGGTGAAATGCAACAGTAAGTTAAACGTGAAATGCATATGCATGAACAAACCTTCGAAGTGACAAACTAAACCTTTGAGTGACTATGTCCAACAATAGAAGCCCTTTTTGTAAAGTATGTCCTAACACTAATTTGAGCATGTGTGGTACATATTACACTATTGACAAGGAAAGCCAAACATAAAAGTCTAGACTTCACCCTCTCTCTTTCCCTCATTTAATTATCGGCCACAACAGAAAATAGTAGTTTTATTGACATCTCTTTAAAAATTTAAT